TGACAGTCTCTGGGATTGTACAGTTCTTATTAAAAACAGCAGAAAACTGAACAGCAGTAGAAGGGTTAAGAACACGACAGAACCGAACTGGTGCACATGGTTTAACCTTAGTAATAGACTGCTTTATCTCAAATAAAACAGGCATATGGTCTGAAAATAACGGGTCACCAATCACTAAATTAAAAACTGGTAGACCATAAGATAAAACCAAGTCAAGAGTGTGTCCATGCTCATGGGTAGCACCAGTTACAGACTGCACAAGATTAAAAGACTCAATAACATTAAGAAACGACTGAGCCATAGGTGAAGTAGGACAACAGATACGAATATTAAAATCACCAACCAATAAAACTCTGTCATATCGTGGCATGATATCAGCCAAGAAATCAGAAAAATCACTTATAAAATTTTTGTTATATTTAGGGGGCCGATAGACCACCGCACACAACACTGGGTGGGAGCTAAGAAGTTCAAAGAGACCAAGCTCAAAGCTACCAAAACGGACTGGATGCAACTGTTTACAAGTAAAACAGCTTTTAAAAACCGCTACTATTCCTCCTCCTCGTCCAGACATCCTTGGAAAATTGAAATAGCAGCAGTTTTGCGGCAAGAGTTCATTAAAAACGCTGGACTCACCCATACCAGTTGTCCAAGATTCCGTTATGAATAAGAAATCAAGGCTTTGAGAGGAAAAGTAATCCTTAATGGCGAAGGTTTTGTTAGCTAGCGACCTAGCATTTATCAGACCGATCCTGGCAGAGATTGGCGGATCTCCGCCACCATCTGACGTCCGAGATTCCCGGCGAAGAGGTCGCAGGTTGTGAAGATTCACCACACGTCTATAGGGCCGAGGAGTGCAGGGAAAACGGGGCTGGAACAGTCCATCATGGCCTCCATCAACAGGCACTAAACAGGTACCCACAGGATCCAACGCACGTAACGGGAAGTAGAGGCGCGGCACCCGCCCACGAACATTGAATGGGTCTGGACATCGATGCCCCAAAGCAGCCTTCAAACGCACCAACCAGCCGCTACGTTTGCCACGGCGCTTCCGTCGAAAAGGTAGAGGCCAGAAGCGACACAGGTAAGCTGGAATGCCCAGCAACAAGGGCGGGGTTTTTCCACTAGTAAGATTCCACGATAACATATTACCAGTCGAGGCTCCAATCGAAGCTCCAATGTCTAGCAATTTTTGGCGATCATAGACAATCCGAGCGTTTACACTTGCATTGAGGATAAAAATAGACAACAGAAAAAATAGTAGGAGTAGCAGACAGCGAGCCTCAAACACTGGCGCCATCTTGCCATCTTAACATAAGAGTCCTTAGTGTCCAGATGTGTGAGGGCTGTGTGGAGGGCATAGGAGATGGCGTCGTCGGTTGAACAATTTGGCCGATATGCAAACTGGAAGGGATCCAGGGAGGCAGGAAGGACAGAGTTGATGTGTTTCATGACTAGCCGTTCGAAGCACTTCATCAGGATGGGGGTGAGTGCCACCGGACGATAGTCATTGAGGCAGGAGGGCGATGCCTTCTTTGGGACAGAGATGATTGATGATGGTAGCTTTGAAACAGGTGGGGACGATGGTCTGACTCAGCGAGATGTTAAAGATATCTGTGAAGACTGCTGCAAGTTCCACTGCAAAGTCCTTCAGCACACGACCAGGTATGTTGTCAGGACCAGAAGCTTTTCGGGTGTTGATCTTGATGAATGATTGCCTTACACTGTCGGTGGACAGCGTCAACACCTGGTCATCGGGAGAGGGGGGGAGTTTCTGTGCAGGTGTGCTGTTACTTGCTTCAAACCGAGCAAAGAAGTCATTCAGCTCATTCAGTGTAGAAGTTGTGCTGACACAGGTTTGTGGGGCTGGCTTGTAGTTTATGATGGTCTGTATTCCCCGCCACAGACTCCGTGTATCCTTGCTGTCACTGAAGCGATGAGCTATCTTCCTGGAATACTGCTTCTTGGCCTTTCTGATTCCCCGGGACAGGTTGTTTCTGACTGCCCTCAGGTCCACCTGATCTCCTGCTGTGAAGGCAGCGTTTCTGGCTCTCAGGAGTCTGTAGACCTCTGCTGTCAGCCATGGCTTCTGATTTGCCCGACCAGTGATGGTCTTGAGGTCAGTTATATCATCAATACACTTGGTGATGTATGAGCATACAGTATCTGAGTACTCTTGAAGATCTGTGTTGTTGTTTTTGGTAGCATCTTCTTTGAACATATTCCAATCTGTGGTGTTGAAACAGTCTTGAAGTGCTTCTGAAGATCCCTCCGGCCACACTCGTACCTGTTTGCAGACTGGTTTGGTGACTTTAACCAGTGGTCTGTATGCTGGCATTAGCATAACACTGATGTGATCAGAGGTGCCGATGTGGGGGAGGGGAAGGGCCTTGTAGGCTCCTTTCATGGTGGTGTAAACTTGGTCCAGTGTATTGTTTCCTCTTGTTGGAAAGTCTATGTGTTTGTATGTCTTTGGAAACACACTCCTTAGATCTGCATGGTTAAAATCACCAGCCAAGATGAGAAAAGCATCAGGGTGGGCTGTCTGCTGCTCACTGATGTGCAGATACAGTTCATTTAGTGCCTAATTTCTATTTTTGTTGCCGGAGCTTGGGGGTATATAAACAGCAACAATTATAACAACTGTAAATTTTCTCAGTAAATAGAATGGTCGGCCTTTAATAGCCATAAATTCCACTACAAGTGAGCAGTGTTTGTAGACCACAGCAGAATCATGACACCAGGCGTTGATATAAACACAAAGTCCCCCGCCGCGGGTCTTACCTCCCTCAATGAGAGCTCTGTCTGCTCTGTAGCATGTTAGCTGCTCGAGCTGAATAGCATGGTCCGGAACGTTGTTATTAAGCCATGTTTCCGTGAACACAAAAACACAACAGTCTCTCAGAGTCTTCTGTGTTGTTCGTAGTAGGCGTATATAATCCAGTTTATTGTCCAAAGAGCGTACGTTAGCCAAAACCATGGATGGGATGGCCGGCTTGTGTGGGCTAGCTGCTAGCCTAGCTCGGATACCTCTGCTTACCCCGCTTCTGCTTCCTGTCGCGCCGCTTATGGCGCTTCCACTGTGGGCGGGATGAAGGAGTGAGGGTCGGTGATGGTACCGGCTTCCAGAGCAGGCCGCAGTCATGTAGTTCTTCTTTGAGTTCGCTGTTTATTCCTAAAAGTGTGGTTTTTCCGACATCAAGCAGGAACTCACAGCTATACTTGCGTTTTAGGACATGTAGACATGACGAAGATATACAAGCACATTCCGGCTTGCAGGACAAAGAAAATGAAAACACAGTTTTGTCGGGAGGGAGAGAAGCTGCAGCGTGTGCGCACGCCGCCATCTTGAAAGGCCATCGTTCCTCTCTGTCCAGGATGTGAACATCTTCATCCCTGAAAGAGTGACCTCTGGCCTTTGACATGAGTGTAGACCTCAGAATCTTGGCCTGATGTTGTTGCTCTTCTGTGCTGGTCCATCCTTTTGGCCAGTGGCTGTTTAGTTTCCCCAATGTAAGACTGATCACCCTCCTGACACTGAACAGTTTACACAATATTACTCTGTTTATTTTTACTCGTGACACGTGACGCAATGACGTAATGGCAGCGTAATGACATCACCACAAATACTCAATGTGAAATTAAAAAACTCAGTAGATGTCGTAGGAATCGATGTTTAGATTACTCAGTTAGTCTGTTAAAGCCCTAGGGTACGGATCCACCGCAATAAACGAGGGACTACTGTACTTGTACTTGTAAAATATGCCCCGTTACCTGTGACAATACCACAGTATCTTCTGCCACGTCATTCCGCTTCTGCTGTGCAAGTGACCAAAGGTTGAAAAAATGTCTGTATTTTGGAGATATTTTAAGATAAACAAGGATGATATTAAAAAAGTAGATTGTCTGCTGTGCTCAGCTAAACTGTCAAGAGGAGGGGTGAATACCAGCAGTTTCAATACAAGTAATTTGATTAAACACCTGAAGACGAAACACGAGGCGGAGTTCAAAGAGTTAGCTGCTGCTAGCAGCACATCACAACAACACTGCAGCAACTTCCCCAGAAACATTGGCTCCAGACAATCCACGTGCAGTCATGATAACTGAAGCTCTTACCCAATTCATGGCTCTTGACAACTAGCCATTTTCAGTGGTGGACGGTTCTGGATTTCGTGGTCTTCTCACATATTTGAGCCTCAGCACGACCTTCCCAGCTGACACCATATTGTTGAAAAAAACTTTGCCCAAGATCACAAAGTTTGTTTTCTCAGTCATCCAGGTATATAACAACAAAAAAGGTTGAATCATGTCATCTGGACTTCGTTTTTTT